ACTCGACCATATCCACTATTCGGAAGGGCAAGGAACGTATTCGTGATGTAGTGAAAGGAACAACACCTATAAAGGGAACTATAATTTCAAAGAGAAGACAAGGTCCTATTCACGATATGGAAAAATTATTGGTGATATGGATAGAAGACCAAATACAGAAGTGTGTACCCTTAAGCCTTCTAACCTTACAGGCTAAAGCAAGAAGCCTGTTCCAAAGCCTGAAGAAGCAGGCAGGAGATGAATGTGAGCAAACCTTTACAGCAAGTCATGGGTGGTTTAACAGATTTAAAAAAATGCTACAGTTTACATAATGTTAAGGTGAGTGGAGAGGCAGCTAGTGCTGATGTTGATGCTGCCAAAGCTTTTAAGGAGGAGTTAGATGATGTGGTTGTGGAAGGAAATTATTTGCCTGAGCAAATATTCAATGTGGATGAGACTGGATTATTGTGGAAGCGCATGCCTGAGCGGACATACATCCACAAAGAGGCGAAAACAATGCCAGGATTCAAGGCATTCAAGGACAGAATTACACTTCTGTTGGGGGGGAATGTTGCTGGTTTCAAGCTAAAGCCCTTCATGATCTATCATTCAGAGAACCCCAGGGCTTTTAAACATGTCAGCAAGCACACACTGCCAGTGTTTTATCGCAGTAATAAGAAAGCCTGGATGACCATTGTACTGTTTGAGGATTGTTTCATTCCTCGAGTCAAGGAGTATTGTCTGCAACAACGGATTCCATTCAAGATTTTGCTGATTTTGGATAATGCTCCGGGACACCCACCACACCTGGATGACATACACCCTGATGTTAAGGTAGTCTACATTCCACCTAACACTACCTCTGTCATCCAGCCCATAGATCAAGGTGCTATTGCTGCCTTTAAAGCGTATTATTTACGCACGACCTTCGCTCAGGCTGTTGCTGCTACTGAAGGTGAGAAAATGCTCAGAGAGTTTTGGAAGGAGTACAACGTTTTGACATGTATAAAGAACATTAGGGCAGCATGGGATCAGGTTACAAAACATTGCATGAATGGAATATGGAAGAAAGTCCTGAAAAGATATGTGAACAGTTTTAGAGGATTTAATGAAAATGAAGTTATTTCGGATATTAGTAACAAGATAGTGGAGTTAGGTAAACAGCTTCGGTTAGAAATTAATAATGAAGATGTTGAACAGTTGGTTGAAAGTGTAGCAGAAGAGCTCAGTAACGAAGATCTCATCGAACTGGAAGCACACAAAGATGCAGAGGAAGGAGCCAGTCTAAATGTAGAAGAAGGACTTGCACCCCCCAAAAAGTTTTCAGTGAAGCAAATGGCAGAGGCATTTGCTACAATTAATAAAGGAATGCAAATGTTTGATGGCATGGATCAAAATTATGAGCATTTTGCCAAAGTTGACAGAATGATCCAAGATGCACTTGCTTGCTACAGAGAAATTTATAATGAAAAGAAAAGGCAAACTGTGCAGTCTAAATTGGACATCTATTTTAAGAAGTCCCCCAGTGCTGTCTCCTCACGCCCCACCAGTGCTGCCTCTTCACTCCCTCAAGATGATCCAATACCTTCAACCAGCAAGTTTCCACAGTACATAAACCTGTCTGAAGAAAGCGACATTGATGACCCACCCAGCCCTGTCTCCTCCTCTGCTTCATCCAATTAATATAGTCTCCATGTATCCTGTAAATAGAAAATTATGGGGGCCCTGTGTGCATTCAGCTGACTACATTAAAGGTAAGTGCTCAGTCACACTGTATCCATTCCTCATTATTTATTACTTTTACTGTACTGTATTTCATTGTAGATTTTTTATTAATTTTTTTTTATCTATGTCGGACTTACGACCTGGATTTGGGTCCCTAACCCCGTCGTAAGTCGGGTATATATATATATATATATATATATATATATATATATATATATATATATATATATATATATATATATATATATATATATATATATATATATATATATATACGTATATATATACAGTGGGGTATGCTATAACAAACGCGGATGAATACGGGACTACTTCGCCTGGCGCATGAATATTGTTGTACCGCGACCCACAACAAGAGCGTCAGGCGCCATCTTTGTCTCATTGTGTAGCCAGTGCACCACTGTTATTGTTGAAATTTCGTCTTTTGATGTGGAAATTCGCGTTATTTGTATAACTATTTTGTTATACAAGTATACAATTGTAACAATGAGTCGTCCAAAGCGAGTGAGAAAGCTAATAACCCTTGAAACTAAGAAAGAAATTATAAAGAAACGTGAGAATGGAAGAAGCATTGCGAAACTTAGTGATGAGTATGGGATGGCTAAATCGACTATATGTACGATTTTAAAGAATAAAGAGGAGTTGAAAACAGTGCAAGTGGCTAAGGGAATCTCTAGACTTAGCAAAGCAAGGTGTAATGTGATTGAGGAGATGGAAAATTTACTCTTAGTGTGGATAAAGGAGAAAGAAATGGCAGGTGATAGCATTAGTGAAGCTATAATTTGTGAGAAGGCCAGACAATTGTTTGAGGACCTTAAAGCCCAGTGCAAGTGATAGTGATGTGCCAGTGTTTATGGGTACCAAGGGGTGGTTTACTGGTTTCAGAAGGAGAAATAAAATACATAGTGTTGTGAGACATGGTGATGCTGCTAGTGCCGATAAGGAAGCAGCTAAGGAACACCATGACATTTTTTTGAATATTATTAAAGAGGGAGGCTTTGTTTCTCAGCAGGTATTCAACTGTGATGAAACTGGACTATTTTGGAAAAAAATGCCTCGCCGTACATACATTACCAAGGAGGAAACTTCTGTCCCTGGCCATAAGCCAATGAAAGACAGGCTTACCCTCCTTCTTTGTGCTAATGCTTCTGGTGACTGCAAAATAAAGCCACTCCTTGTGTACCATGCAGAAAACCCCAGAGCTTTAAAAAACACTAGGAAGACCCGCCTTGGTGTTATGTGGCGGTCAAACCCAAAGGCTTGGGTGACCAGGAATTTATTCTCTGAGTGGGTGATTGAGGTGTTTGGACCCAGTGTTCGGGAATACCTCAGGGAGAATAATCTTCCACTAAAAGCTTTGTTGGTGATGGACAATGCACCAGCCCACCCTCCTAATTTGATGGTTGAATTGCCAGAGGAGTTGAACTTCATCACTGTGCACTTCTTGCCACCCAACACAACACCTCTCATCCAGCCCATGGATCAACAGGTAATTTCTAACTTTAAGAAGCTGTACACAAAGGCACTGTTTAGAAAATGTTTTGCGTCCACTTCTTCCAGTGATGTTAGCTTGAAGGAATTTTGGAAGAGTCACTTCAATATAGCAGATGCTGTATTTTTAATTACTTCAGCCTGGAAAGAGGTTACTGTGAGGTGTCTTTGTGCTGCTTGGAGGCCATTGTGGCCTGAATGTGTCCTTCAAAGAGACTTTGAAGGCTTCGAAGAGTTAGAAGAAGAGGCTGTTGTTCATGAAATTGTGGCTCTGGGCAATTCCATGGGCCTGGAAGTGGATGATGATGATGTTGAGGAGTTGGTGGAAGAGCACAGTAAGGAATTGTCCACTGAGGAGCTGCTTGAGCTTCACAAAGAGGAAAACGAGACACTGAAGCGGAGCTTAACTTCTGAGGAGTCAGGGGAGGAGGAGGACAAGGAGGAAAGCCGCATCATTCCAGCCAAAGATCTCAAGGATGCGTTCTTTTGCTGGAGCAAACTGTCCAAGCTTGCTGAGGATTATCATCCTGATGTTGGTTCTGTGCAAAAGGCCATCAGTGTGTTCAATGACAATGTTATGAACTACTTTTGGAAGGTCCAGAAATCAAGGTTGAAGCAGCCAACCCTGGATACCTTCTTTACAAAGATAACAAAAGAACATACAGACAAAGTGCCTGTGAGACAGTCACCAAAGAGGGCTAGGAAGGATGACTCCTCTCCTTCCACCTCTTCTCAATAATTCTCTCCTCCCCCCTCCTCCCCCCTCCCCCTCTGCCTCCTGTCCTGCATGCTGAACAACACTAAGGTAAGATAAAGTACCGTATTTTTTACATTTTCCACAGAATTTTTTCAGTGTTAAGTGGTTGTATTTGGGGGCCTGGAACGGATTAATCCTATAACGAACGAATGCTATAACGAACGAGGTTCTGGAACCAATTACGTTCGTTATAGCATACCCCACTGTACTGTACTGTATAATTTTGTTAATGTTGCATATCATATAGTAATGCTTATATTATTGCACATAAGCAGCAAAATGATACCGGTGATGCAACAATCTATGTACGGTATACAGTACTATTGATAAGTTTAAAATATGGACGAGCAATATTGTATTTTTGTTTCAACTAAACGGCGTTCATATTTAAGATAGTCCTTACCAATAGAGGATATATATACAGTATATAATTATCATACCATACACAATATACAGTATTTGTTTATGTAATTCCTACTTAATTCATTCATATAAACTGGATGTATTAAGTTCATTCTGCAGTATAGCTCTAACCTTTAAACACACCACTAAAATATTAAGCCTGACAAATCTGACTGTGGGACCTTGGCTCCTCCCAGGAAAAGTTCCAGCAGACACCCATATTTCTTCCACAATTTTCACTGATCCATTAATCAAAGTCACAGATCTGATGGTTATTCAGGTGCAGTCTTATGACTTCTCAAGAATTTGTACTAATATACAGTATAAAACACCCCCATGTCTGACGGCCTTCATAACCATCACTGACTGAGGCCATGTTCATTTGGTAAGATTGGTGCTTCTGATTGTGTGATGCATTGTGTAACCCATACCATGTATTCTGTATACTATTACATATAGTTAATACCGAGAAATTAACAGTGCTACCAACATACACCTAACTCATGAGTGTTGTTCAGTATTCGTGGTCTGGTGTGTCATATTGTATAACATTAAAGGTCCAGAAATTTTTTTTGTTGACTGTTCATGATATACCAAACTGATCAACTGAGAACATCCAGTACAGTACCTGCCATACTGGTTGTGTGTACATTGTTTCTGCTGCAGGAAGTTTCCAAGCTTCATCTCCTCTCTCTGATGACTGTGTGAAAGTGAAATGCTTGTTGAAGTGCTCTTCCACTTCCATCTGGGCTTGGATGTGGTCTGTGTACTCGAGCAGCGGAAAGTTGTTCCCCGCCTTCCCTAAAAGACCTCGACTAAAACACAAAGAATACATTCTATAAGTGTTCAACAATTAGTAAATATCATATAAGAATTTAAACATTGTTATATACAAAAAACAATGAGAAAATAATATATACAAACTATAAAGAGCCATATACATCCTATCAGTTGACATACATTCATTCACCCCTTCAGTACAGCTTCTAATACAAACTATAAAGAGCCATATACATCCTATCAGTTGACATACATTCATTCACCCCTTCAGTACAGCTTCTAATACAAACTATAAAGAGCCATATACATCCTATCAGTTGACATACATTCATTCACCCCTTCAATACAGCTTCTAACAGTCTGAATACCATGTGGAACTGCTTGAATATTATTTTACAACCGTTTCAAACCTTAAGCTAATTTCACCACAACCTATTTACGACCTAATACACACATAGACCTGAAGCTAGAGTAGTAAGATAAAGAGAAGAGTGGCATTATATAGGCTCCAAATGCTAAAGTGACAAGGATCTCACATGGAGAGTTCACCAAGCTACAAAATAGAGAGCACAAGAAAACATCATAAAACCTGTCCAAATTTGTACAGCTCTACAAAACTGTAGTACTGGTTAGGTTAGCATTAGGGTGATTAATCTTCAAGTGAAATAAGCTGGGGTGGAGATTCTTCAGGGGATGTCTCATCATCTAATTTATAGACCTTTATAAAAAAAACTCACCTCCTCTGGTTTTTGTGATGGTGTCTTCTTGGTTGTTGTCGGAGGAATTTGGGAGGTGAGAGATGTTGTGGCATCATCTCTCTCTTCTCTCGCTGGGGTCTGAAAGAAAACCCATCCTTCCCTTCCACTACTTCATGTGACATATTTCCTTCAGTGTCCATCATTAGAGGATACTGTTGTTCACTGGATGAATTGTGTTATACAAGTCCCAGTCATTAATATACTTTGCTGTTTTGCTGTCAGTATTAATTCTTCAAAAAAATGATTTCTTCGTTTTTCATAATATATTTAGGCTTTATATTATTGTATCAAGTTATTAGCTTTTTTACAATAGCAATTAATAATCACTATGCTATCTACACTAGCTATGAGTTATAAGTAAATACTGTAATGTCAATATAAATCAGGTCTTTTTTATTGAACAGTATTTAATTATCTGAGGTACACGTTATGCTTTTGTCTTTTTAGCAATAGAGTCCAACTGGGCGCGTACTTTAACCAGAGAATCAATGGCAGCAGTGAGAGTTTCTGGGCTAAGTTCTAGGCTTATGTTCTCTAACTTGTTAACTTTGGGATCTTTCTGAGTCTGAAATACAAAAAATAAAAATAAAAATAAATAAAATTAATACAAAATAGCTGAAACAAAGATAACTAGAAGCAATATATTTATTTTTGGGCAGAAAAAGATAATCACAGGATTATTCATTAAACAAAAAACATATAGGACTGAGCTTGTGAATCTCATTTTATGGCAGAGATGAAGTGTGAAGGAATGTGTTAGACCCCCTCCCAGACACCCGGTAGACCAGGGGGTTGTCAGCACACTGAGGTGGGGGGGGGGGGACATTGCCCTACATATATCAACGAAAACATGTGTAAGCAGCCACCCACCATGATCCAGCACCTCATTCTTGATGGTCATTCAGATATTTAGATAGTCCATCCATCATAACGATCTGGAGTACTGTCACCCTGTCTGGTCCCCGAGTTACAAACAGCTGAACTTACCAACATCATTCGATTTTGTATATTATTTAAAATAACTGCCAAGTAATTCCTGGGCTGAACGGGGAAACTTCCAACCATTCCCCACCTGTGAGCTATCTTATCTTATGGTTATTTTTCAACTTTTAATTTTGGGTGAAAGTGAAAGTGGATCCCACAGGCATGACTGCCCATGAGGGAAAGTGTGAATACAGCACACTGTATACTAAGCCTTTGGTACACAAGGAGGCAGCATGGCCAGTAACTAATGATTAATTTGGCTGTTGGAGTAACCTTCCACTGATCCCAGTTGGAGTGTCCCTCCCTAATAAGACAAGATAAGATAGTCCCTATCAAAGACTGTCAGATAGGGAGCTTCAGAAGTTATTTGATAAATATCTCATTTGCCATAAAAACAAACAAATGGGACACCAAACATACATACTGGTATTTAAAAACTACTCACAGTCAGGTCCAGCAAGCAGCGAGGTTTACTGTTTCCCTCTGTTTCCACCTTGACAGTGAGGTCACACAGTTGTGGAGGAACTGCCATGCTCCATGTGTTGTCCACTAACTCAGGTGAAGGCCTGGAAAATTAGAAGAAATCCGGGGTAAATTCAAGTTATAAAACAAAGTTTTTATTAAATTCTTTTACAATGCTCAGTGTGAAGAAATGGAGGACTGTTCCTGAAATTCCATTTATGACTGACTCTGGAGGTACATGTATTGACTTGTCTAATATGTTCACTAAACTCTGTGTTTAAAACCCCCAAAACTCTCAAGATTAGTAGTTGGAACTAATTTATTAAATAGTTTATGCCTTCCTGCCATAACCAAATCCCTGAAAAAGGATATTTGGAGACAATAGAACACAGGTCATAACACTACATCAACATTTGCACACACCACCCCAAACTACCATTACTCATTTGGTTCCAGCCAACTTCATTACCACCCACTGGGGAGAGGGAGGGTAGATGACTCAACTGGCCTCTTAGGATCAAACCTACATTTGTGACCTAATGTCTTGATCCTGACAATTTATGTATCTGAGATCAGCTAGATACTGCACAGGGAGGATGCAGCACTAAATATACACTGAACAGTTAAAATAATATGCAGTCCATTGAGGGAGTTAACCCAGTTGCTTTACTGGGGTGACCTAGGCCTAAACAATGACCTAGAACCTCTTGAAGCTAGAAGTAGCAAGTCCCTTAATGATGTGCCAGTGCTGTTCAAAGATTCACAACTGTAATGGATCACTAGACCTAAATGATAAAAAAAAAAACCTTCACTGCATTTTTATCACATTCCACTTTCACAGTTTACAAGATACACAGCATTACTATAACCATACATTATACATTACAAACGATTCACTTCACTTTATTTCCAGCTTTATTTTTTAACCCTCTCACACACGCAATAATTTATAAGTTTCTGTGACCACGAGAAAGGTCATATGGGACAACTCACGTGCACCCAATTTATCCCACTAGAAATTTTTATTTTGCTTGATTTATACATCACTAGGTTTGTTATTGTTTTGTTTTCAACATAAGCAGAAAAAAAATATATATGAGAATACAGTATAACTATTTTTTACTCCAATTAAAGAAGGAAAAATCACTTGTGTTCCCAGCATCACATCTTGGATATTTTCTCACAAACCTACCAAGTGATACAGTATATAGTTATAGGAGCGGAATTTTATGAGCCTTCCAACGGTGGTTTTGGAATTCTGATACGACTAATTGTGGGGAGGATGAGAGAGTAGATAAAGGGACAAACGCGACCTACCAGCATGACTGATGGGTGGAGACTGATGTACAGCGGAACGCCACTCATAGTATTTTAAAAGAACCGACAAGATGAGGGAAATTGTGGGGTAAAACACAGTGAAAGATATCATATGACACTAAAATGATGTCTCTTCGTGCTTTGTATGTGAAGAAATTATTTATTTACTGTAAATACTCCTCCAAAAAATATGACGAGTCATGGCGTTACGTCTGTTCACAAGCGACACACTCGATCTAAGTGTATTCTCATGTCCACAAAAAAAAAAGCATAAAATTACACCATGATGCTTTCATTGGTACAGTACAGTATGGCAGAGGGTATGCCCCCCAGGAAGTTATATAAGTTTAGGTAGGTTTCTTTGGTTGGTTAGGTCAGGTTTTAGTAAATGTTGCATCATTTAAAATACTTACTATAATGATAAGAACATGTGGAAAAATGAACGAAATCGAACAACTCCTTCTGGTGGTAGCAGTGTTCTCATACATTATTGTTATTAATTCCATTACACATGTCATCAAAAAGTCTTGTTGTGGGTGACTTTCAGTTTCATTAAGGGAGAGTGTCAAGTAACCAGAATTCTCCCTTAACTACAGTAGTTCTTAACTACAGTAGTTTGGATGCTCACCACTCAAATGTGGTTATGAGTGGCTTTACTAACCTATAAACTGGGACTGAGGACATATTCAAAATAGTGGAGCATGATTCCAGGAAGCCCAAATACCTAAACAGATACTGGTATTAATATCGTTTCCGTCATGCAGTGATTTTAGGTTAGGTTGAAATTATGTTTTTTCGATGGTTTTTGATGTGTTTTGAACCATTCTGGCCATCGGAAAATAGGTGCATGACCGTAACGATAATTTTACCCAGATACTATAGTGCACAGTACAGCAGAACCACACAAACACCAGAGTGCCCTGACTTTCACTTGGTTTAGCCATGTTAATATTGTCATTGATCACTTTGTATTAACCTCTTCTGGAATTTTACCAAAGATGTTACTTCAGAAAAAAAAAAACGCTTAAAATCTACCGGAATGAACAAGTCACTGCTCACATTGTAGTGTATAAAACAGTTCAAATAAACACGCTTAAATTCGCCCACAGCAGCCCACTAATCAGTTAATGAATAATAGAATGTGAGAATCAAGTTGTTCATATAACATTAACCACAAACCTATCAGCTTTTGTTAATCAGGTGGGAGGACACAGATAAAAGATAACAAGTGAGGAAGGTGAACCACACGGCGGCCACTGACGTGTTTGTTTACGTCTGTTCACCATTCTCTTTAACACTCCTGGCATGACTGTGAGAAATATACGTTGACATTATTTATTTATCATATCACCACTTACCAGCCGTTCGGGCAGTTAATCTGTTATTTGTTACTTTGAAATAAACTTTAATTGTCCAGTATTAGAACAAGAGGGAGCCGAAATACCTGGAGGAAGCTTGTGTGTGATGTTTGATAGCGATGGTCACACTCACACTGCATAGATAACACCTTTCATGTGTGTGAAGGCCAAGCGGGACTCGAACCATGACAAATAATGAGAGATACGCGCGTTCCTGCTAACAACCAAAGATTTCTATGGAACTTGCAATAACTAAAGCCCAGTACTGTTTGTGATTCCACAGGTTAGGCTGGTAGACCCTGCCACCGGTAAATACTAATACCAAGGATAATAAAACACGTTCGGAGGAACAGAGGATTCTAATTCGTTTTAACACCAAGCCATACAGCACTGTTTCATGACTCACAGATACACAGTTGAAAGCTAAACTTTCTATGGAGTACAGTACAAGAGAACTAAACCCTCGGGATCATCATTATGTTCCAGTACCAGTCAAACCTGATGACATTCTTAGACCAAACATCAATGTCTTTACCACGGAAACGTGCATTCGAAAACACTTACAAATACAATGCAACAGCAAAACCTTTATATTAGACAGAATATAGACAGATAAATAAAATTCAATGAAATCTGGACAATTTTATTGGAATGACGTTGATCGGTAATAACAATTATGTTAGCAACGAGTCAGTCGAAGTTCAACCACGGAACTTTACCAGAAATACCTGTATATGTTTTTCTCTAATTCCCATGTTAAAACAGGAATTCTGCTTATGTCTCTTTGTACACTCTTCGTCGATGGTGAGAATTAAAATTAGGTTTGGGGAATGGGGGAGTGGAGCAGCCAGTGAGGAATCGCGTACATCAACCAGTGATGAGGCGAGTGTGCGTAGAGGCGGCCTCACTGGACAGTTCTCTCACCTCACTGCTTCTCGGTTTCCACCTGTTGAAAAGATACACTATAAATAAAAACAAAATAGAGAACATATGTTTTACTCTACCATACTTTTTGACCGTTTATATTCCGATTCGTTTTACTGTTATTTAGGTTATAATGTACATACTTAGCCTGCTGGTGAGCCTAGCCCAACACACGGCACGGTTGACTATAATCAGGTACAGAATCTTCCTCTTAGTTGTGATGTAGTAAGTTAAATATGTAAATAGGGATGTTTGTCCTTGTTTTGTGTGTGTGGAGGTAAGGTGCTGGCTGGGATGGACTAAGGTTCACACTAACTATAAAGTCTGGGAATGGCGCGAGGGTAATAGTCTTATTGGGGGTAAGTGTACCTTTTGTTGAGGTGTGGAGGTGAGGTGCTGGCGGGGCTGGGTGTGAGGGGTGGACCTCTTCCTTCGGTACACTGGGTGGTTCTCCATACGGGACGCATAGCTGCGCATCATCTCCATCTAAGAGTACCGTAAAAAAATATATATAACATAACCGTTCTCGTGGGACCATAATCTCGGCTAGAAAATATCAACACGGTTTGAATCCTCTGAGGAAATCAACGCTAAATATGTGAAAATTAAGTTATAAGTTTGCATCTGGCTAAAAAAATAAAACGATATCTTGAAGCGTCACTATAGAGAGAGACTCGCCTTGCTCTGGAGTTGCTCCCACAGTTTGGCTTCGGCCAGGACGTGTTTGGCCAGGGCGTCGAGCTCAGAGCTGGAGGCCAAGCCTTCCATGCTGGGGTCTGACCTCTTCTTGCCACAACCTGGAGGTCACATGAGAGGTCATACATGGGTCACAAGGTCACACAGGAGTTACGTCCCTCAACTGACTCATATATGCAGATACTTCATATATATATATATATATATATATATATATATATATATATATAAACCATAAAAGTTATACATCTATCCACTAGCCCCCAGACAGGCTAGGCGGTCCAATAGCCCCCACAAGTGATCCACTAACCTAAGAAGGATCCACTGGTGAACACTTTACCATTACTCATCATACATCAACATATTTGAGCGCCGGCAATGTTGTAAGTGAGATTAGTGACACACACAGACCACGCGGCCCAGCCTCTTCCGAGTGTTTACAACGTTGATGCTCTAAACAGTGATTGAAGGTGTGGGAACGCTCATTAGTCGGTTTTGAAGGTGTGGGAACAGTTATTGGTCGGTTTTGAAGATAGTATTTTCTATGACTTTACGTTGGATAAAACACTGAAATATCTCAGGGATTCTTCTTATTATCATTTGAAATAATGTAACTTGGGGGCAGCGTCGACTCTTGTAAGAAATATTGAAATCTGTTAATATTATGTTATCAAGAGTATTGAAATAATACATTGAAATAATACTTATATGAATATCATGCATATATATTTATATATATATATATATATATATATATATATATATATATATATATATATATATATATATATATATATATATATATATATATATATATATATATATATATATATATATATATATATACTGTATATCACAAATACTCTTAATTTTCTGACATGTTTTAGCGTTATTAGTACATGTAATGTTAAGTTGCGGGAAGGGTGACGCGCGCCTGACTCATCTCTCTGTCGGGTGAATCATGAAGTTTCAGTGGAAAGTGAGTCAGTTTGTTTAGACTGAACCATCGCGTACGAGAAACCACGGAAGATTGATTTATTGAGTAGTTTTTTTTATCTTCTGATTATTTTACCGAGTCATAATCGTTATAAGGATCGATTTAAGCACAGGATATTTTTTTACTTACTTAACTGCACATATACCTTCCGGCGGACTAATACCTCTTATACTATACTCGTTAGAATCATATTAATTCTCCTTCTATAGACCATTACTTAATAGATAAACCAAAGTGTCAGCAATGTCAGTCATTTCGGCTCGAGGATATATTGTTTATTCACTGATGGATGTTGACTACAGTGGTGACCATACTGGCCCAACTGGGCCACGTAGTGGTGAATAAGCGGAAGAAGTGTTAAGTAGTTCCCGGACTTTTATGATTTGCGTGAGCCGTTGACACTCACGCCCTCCGCCCCCCCCCCCCTCTCATGTCATTTACTATCTCCTTTCCTTCCTCCTTTCCACCTTCCTCACACTAATCTTACCCTTTTCCCTCCCTCTCATCTACCTATCTACCCTCCTTCCCTCACCTCGCATTTACCCACCCGCCTCTCTGTAGATTACCTCCTTCCCCTATCTTACCTGTGAAGGCGTTACAGAAGGGCCGCTTGTCTTTACCCTCCAGCAAGTCACCGATATCCTGCAATAACAATAACAACAATAATAGCAACAATATTTACAACCGGTTATTTTTCCTTTTCCGTTACGCTAATAATATTAAGATTTAAAGAAATATTAACATGGAAGAAAATATAGAACAATTACGAAAAATAGACGAGAGAAGAGAGGAGAGGAGGACCAGGCTGCTCACACTCATTGCAAACTGCTGTATCAGACAAAACTCCGACATCCCTTTTACCCGCCTTGACACTCTTGCAAGATTTATCAGCATTAATTACTCAAAGGAGGGAAGACTAAAGCACTATTTTATTCCACATTCTGGTAATATATAACAGAAGGTGAAGATTATTACTTAGAGGCGAGGAATTCAAACTCCACAGAAAGTAGATTAATGGTAGGTTAAGTAATGTTAGATTAAGTTAAATTAAGTTAAGTAATGTTATATTAAGATGCGGTAAATATAACTAAATTTAAGGATAAGTTAAGTTAAGTAGGTGGGATATCCGGTAGAAGGCGCTGAAGGTGTAGAGGCTGGAGGAGGAACTTACCCTTTTAGCGACAGGACCAGCTTGGGCGTGGGCTGCCAGCAGTACCAACAGTAGGACAGTTGTCACGCCCAGAATCCCAACACGTCCGCACCAGCTCATGTTAGTCATTGTGGATCTGTGGGTGGGTGGAAGAGGTGGGTGAGTTAGTTGATGCAATAGCTCTCGGTCGACGCTGAGTGAGAGAGAGAGAGAGAGAGAGAGAGAGAGAGAGAGTGTGTGTGTACTGTATATGTGGTACTTTTGCGGCCGTGAGGAAAGATCACACACACACATACAACCATTCAGTACACACACGCACACAACCATTCAGTACACACACGCACACATCATCCCTTCCAGTATACACAAACACATACACGCCCTCATGCATCCAACCTTTCCAACACACACACAAACACACACACACACACCAGAACTAATACGTATAGTGAAAATTCGTGTATAATTTTACCGTTTTTCTCACATTCCATCTTGAACTGAACACAAGAGGTGAACCTGATCAACCACCAGCACCGCCTCCTGCAGTAGTATCTCTCCCTCACAAGCATAAGGTTCCCAGTCACCATCCATCACCCACCGCGTCAGAGGAGCTCGCACTACCTTCCTCCACACTGATGAAGATGGTGAGGTAGAGATTCATGACCCACTGATGATGATGCGCCCCCCGCCCCCCCTCTCTGTTTACTGATCAAGAATTCGAATCACCCGATGATCATAGTTCCTCTTACTCCCCCACCTTCCTCCCGGCCACATTATTTCATTTGATTAGACACACGCTGCTTGAGGGGGTAAGGTTTAGTTAGCGCTAGGCAGTGTGGGGTCAGTTGTCAGAGGAAGTTGGGGAAAAATATTTGCAACAGTATTCTCACTGTCGAAGAATATTTTCTTGTGATTTAACGAATAATTTCAGTTCGATTCACTGTCTGTGCGTCTGTGCTGTTAGCGTGTGTATGAGTGTGTGTAAATGTGCGTGTACGTTGTGTATGTGTGCATGTACGTGCACGTGTGTGCGTGAACCCTTGTACATCTATGAATAAATAAAAGCTCCATATCCGTGTATGTGTGTGGCTGTGTGTGTGTGTGTGTGTACCTCACTGGCCAACAGTCGTGCCGTAACAAAAGGATATGTACAGTAACTCATGAGCCAGAGCCACACAGGTAAACAAACGTCCTGGAGCGTAGTGTTGTCTCCCCGTGTCTTACTTAATTAGGGATGAGTTCAGTAACAACAGAGAAGGTAAACAACCCAGAGTCTTAATGATTTATATCTTATTGTCCTCCTACGACTGGGTGTGGGGGCACGAGGGATCACCTGAAGATTAGTGCACCTTACCCCGCCCAAGCTTATTTCACCTGATGATTAAACACCCTAATGTTACCTGAGGTGGTTGGGTTAGCGTTGGGTTGAGTTAGATATGGTTAGGTTAGCGTTGGGTTAGATTAGGTAAGGTTAGGTTAGCGTTGGGTTAGATTAGGTAAGGTTAGGTTAGCGTTGGGTTAGATTAGGTAAGGTTAGGTTAGCGTTGGGTTAGATTAGGTAAGGTTAGCGTTGGGTTACGTTAGATTTTGTTTAGCTTAGGCTAGGTTACATGAGGTTAAGTTAGGTTAGCGGTTGGGTGGTTAATCTTAAAGTGAAATAAGTTGGGGAGCTAATCTTCAGGCTGGTCCAAACGCTGGTACTGTCTCTCGCTCTTAACTTCAGGACATTCTGAGTTGTGTGTTTATACTCCAGTAGACACACACGTTTTATTTTTGTTTTTGCAATACAGTCTAAGAGAAAAAAAATAACTTAAGGGCTTTTGAGAATGAGAAGTTTATATTTGTACTAAAACAGGGGGAGAGTGAGAGGGCAGGTGGGGGTAGCTAATGATGATGATGATAATAATAATAATAATAATAATAATTTCAAGAACACCTTTTAATTTCCTTAGTTATTATATACATATATATATATATATATATATATATATATATATATATATATATATATATATATATATATATATATATATATATATATTCTTTTTTTAGGAGACTTTTCTCGCCGGATCACGTAAAAAAGGACAAGTTAATTTACTCTTCCCTTCGTCAACATAAGCAATGGCGTTCACAACTTCACAAAAGACAAAATAAATATAAACATAAGACTCATACATAGTTTCCGAGACTCAGGTTATAAAAAATAATAATAATAAGTTACTCAAAAATTCTTCTGCAATAAAACCTGACAATTAATTGGAAATACACGAGGCGTGAAATTGCAGGGAAATCGAAGTGCAATCTTGCAACCCCTCCCATCAGTGTTGCCACAACTCGCTTACTTGGCTGAGTCTGTCGGGTAAAGAGACGTAGGTGAGTTATGTGTGATTACGGTGATGTGGCATAGCGGGAACGAAGGTGTAACTGGTGAGAGAGAGAGAGAGAGAGAGAGAGAGAGAGAGAGAGAGAGAGAGAGAGAGAGAGAAGGGGGAAAACGGAGAAAGATGACAAATATAGCTTAGAATATTAAATAAATGATAATTCTCCATCTACCAAACACAAGACACACGTAATATTCTACCATCTTCCTTTATTTCATCCATCCATTCTCATCTTTATCCTTCCATCATTCCGATTATCTTTCCTTTCCTTACGTCAGTCTTTTTCTTCATTCATCTTTCCTTCTTTCGGTATTGCTCGTCCTCCTTCTTTCCCTCCGTCCGTCCAGCTTCCATCAATTCAATTTCAATTGTTTATACCTTGATAGAGGAAGCGGGATCCTAGTGCTGTCACTAGGTACCCCTGTACAATGACACCAGAAGCATCTGGCAAGTGTGACAAGTATATACAGTATAAATATTATAAAGGGGCTTACTAAAGCCTAAGGAAGGACGGATATTCCTTTAACACATAATCAATGTTATTTACATAATATCTGGCCAGTAGGAGGATCATCGTGTCTCCGTCAGGGGGTCGTGGAGTGGTGGTCCAGCAGGCGTCACGGAAGCGTTGTGTGTGGGGACATCTTAGGAGGTAGTGGATAAGGGTGCGGCTGTCGGGTCTTCTGCATAATGCCCAAGAGCGTTGCTCAGGGCAGCTTCCATCTTCTGTGTTTATCTGCGTGCGTCTCTCCTTAGCTACTCAAATATCTATATCTCTCAATATCTGTATCACTCACTATCTATATCTACAAATATCTATATCTATCTATATCAATCTGTTTGTGTATCTATCAATCTCTATTCAACTATCTGTCAATTTTGTTTCAATTTCCCTCCTGTAAATTCTAAAAATATCATAATGTTTTGGTCACCATCAGTGTAGGATCTCCCAAGGATGTGAAGGACTCGTTTTGTCAAAGGATAAACCTAATATTGTCTCCAGTAAAGATATAACTCACTCGAAAGGCGACAAAAACGAGGCAGGCGAAACGACGTCCAATTTAACCCAAGACATTGCTGTAACTAGATCTCTTATGCAAAGTGTGTGAACCTTGAAAGAATCCGTACAGCAGCCTCCTCTTCCTCTAAAACTCGTAAGGTAAAATTGTTTAGAAACGTATTTTAAAGTTATGGTATTTTTTCATGTCATTTCGGCGCGTAAGTTAAATTTAAAGACGTTAAATGTTATGTTAGTCTTGGTAGTATTTTCACTTCATTTCGTGTCTCAATTGGATCAGATCACAAGATACGGGAGGAATTTATCGTAGGAATTTTGAAGAATCGTAACCCATGCCAGTAGTCTTTCGCCGAGCTGTCAGTATCAAGGTAGAACGTCACAATTTTTAGCCCGGCGCCATCTTGCTATAACCAGGTATGTTAATTTTTTTTTCCTCTGAAAATGTGAAACTCAAATATTCCTTAGCGAGAGGAAAATACTTACAGATGAACCATAAACGGGTGAATTATATTTTTACAGTGTGAATTTATGTGAAACTACACCTTTTTTCAATTGCAATTGAACAATGTTACTTTTGGTTTCAACATCTTCGAATGGAATCAACATTCTTACACTTGATTAATAACAATCTTTACTTTCCGTTCAACAATCATCCAAAACTTTTCAACAGTCGTTCAACACGTGACAATGTTTACTTGCTTTCAACAATCGTCTCATTCTTCATTGACAATTCACTAATACTTTCAAAATTTTGCAAAACTAAGTAACAATCTTTAAAACATCATAACTATGCAAAAAGTTTATGTTTTGGTGTTTTTCGTAGATCGAAAGACTAGTTGATCTAATTCGAACTTTTGAAGCAAGTAACGAATCACCGAGTCGAGATGGTGTGCTACACACTCAGTATTTTCATTACGAGTGTGCAGCTTCTCCCGTATACAGTTCGTCGCCGAGCCCCTCCAGCATGCCACGGAGGCACCGAATAACAAGTGCTACAGATCGCGAGCGCATTATCGAGGCCTACAGAGCCGAACAAGATTTCCTCGTAGTTGCAGCAGCCCTTGGAGTTCAGCGCACCACGGCATACTCCATTGTGCGAGTATACCAACGCGAAAACAGGGTTGAAGCGGCTCACGCAGGAGGCAGACACAAGATCATCGACAATGAAACTCTGGATCTAATAGTGATGCTGCTTGAAGCAAACCCTATGATGACCTTGAGAGAGATAAAGGAGGAGGTCATGGATATATTTCCTACAAAACCACATTTCAGTGAGGTAACGCTTTCGCGTTATTTGGAGGGGGAGCTGATATCACTGAAAATGTCCCGTGACTCCCCAGCAGAAAGAAATTCTCCCGCAGTAAAGGAGGCGAGACACGCGTACGCTACGTGGATGCTGGCGACGGGTCTACAGCAGCAACTAGTATACATTGATGAGACAGGTATGTAATTATGTAACCACTTATCAACTATCTGTGGTATGTACTACATAATTACTTAAGTAAACTGTATGTAACTAGTGAGTACTTAATATTGATCTCAGTTTGATGCATCGTACAACTTTCCTTGTGTTAATGTTTAATTACATTACAGTATGACTACATACACTGATGTTTCATTTCCAGGGTTCAATCTGTGGACCAAGAGGACGTACGGCAGGGCAAGACGCGGGGAGCGTGTGCATCGCGCCGTTGGTGGACAGCGTGGCAGAAACACGACAGTGATTGCTGCAATAGC